AATGCCAAGAGGAAGCATTTCATAAACCGCATTGCTGTTCAAACCAGTTTGGCAGTTTGTGGTCCAGACACATTGTTACTGCCAACTACTACTTTTACTGGGAAATAGAACTATAAAGCACTGATAGGAAGCTTACTATCATTTGCCTACATCAACCTTAAAGGGAAAATCCAACTAAAACATTTAAGCACAGTATCTGATGGTGTATTTTTCCATAAGGATAACATTATGTAATTTAAAATAAATTGGTGTCTAGTCAGGCAAAGACAGAATGAAAACAAAAAAGGGGGGAAAATAAAAGGCAACCAACAGACAAAAGGTTCAGTTACAAGTCTTTCTTGGGAAACATTAGAAATCACAAACTGTAGTAGATGTAAATGACAAATTAAAAAGTACAAGTACAGCAATAGGTTTTAATAGTAATTCATTCATAATCAATTCATAGTCTTGTGGATAAATCATAAAAGTAGAGTCCAGAGGGAAAAGGAGAGACTGAAGTAAAATACCTGAACAAAACATGCAATAAAACAAATGTGGTCGGTGCGAATGTCAGCTAGCTTATAGCTAATGTCAGCAGAGTCAGACAGCCGAAAAATGTGCCATTGGACCAAAAGCCCATTTGTAAGGTACAGCCCGTTATCAAAAACAAGCCCACAAAGGCCTCTATTCCACTCTCCCTGGAGTTTCTTTCCCCTAATATATTTTGTATATTTTGATGCGTAAGTGTCAGGTTGCCTTTATCAACACAATTTTTTATCAATAAACATGTGGTTAACATTGTGAAATACTCACAATTTGGTTAGGTTTAGGCATCAAAACCGCTTGGTTTGGTTTAGGAAAATATCATGGTTCAGGTTAAAAATAGTATGTCAGTTAAATTACGTTACGGTTGTAAGTTAAATGTGTAAGTTATCCCAGGCTGGTATTTTCGGAGTAATGGGGCTCCAAGGTAATTGACATTTGTGTAAAAGCATATTGGGCTCAATCCGGTGGTATATTTTTCAGGCTGTTGCGCTGCCTCATAGGAACAATGGCATGGCATCAGTACACTGGCTGTTTGGGGCAAATACGCAAACTTTCCAGTGGTCAAATTTGCACAAATAACACAAGATGAAAGTTAACTTGAATTTCTATTTGAACACCTTAATAACATCAGTTACTTTAGTTTATGACCAAATACCTGTGTTTAGTGCTAATGAGAAAATGCATGCTAGAACAAAAAACTAGGATGGTTACGTTCGTAAACTTCTAAATATCAGTTAGAATTAGAATTATTTATATATATATATATAGTATTTGTTAATTTATGTACCCCTCTTACTATAAGCAGCTAAAGAAGAATGTAGGGACAAAGGAAGGAGTCAGTCTCTGAGAATCTTGAGAGATATAAACAAATTAAAGTAAATTAAATGACAGGTTAAAGTAAAGTGAGTACATCAAAAAGGTAAATTATGGCAGGAATGAACCAAACTTCACAGATGACATAACAGCACAATGACGGGTTCCAAGGGTTGTTTTTCTTATCTTTAATTGCAGAGTTCACCTCCGTTATGTAATGTAGCAATCAGATTCTCATCGCCTGTATTTGCTTTATGCTTATCTCACATAGCTACTCCTGTAGAGTTTGACGGGCTGAGCGTACCAGGACTGCTGCCAGTGTTGTGGTTTTGATTACAAGCGGGACCACCTATGCTAAAAATGCACGCACTCACAGTACAGTAAGGCAGCTCGGGTAAAAAAACATCCACCAAATGGACTACACTGTTAAAAGAATAAACTGCTGAGCGTCGGCCTGCCAAGACAACACAAGAGGAAATTTACTCAGCCATAACAACCTCAATGCAAGGTCAGGCCTCTCCACCACACTGAGGGCTGAAATTCATTTGAATACCTTTGGCAGCGTGTAGAAGTCGAGTTTGGATGGATGTGGAGTGGAGCTCCAGAATATTCAAATTGTTGATGCTGAGAGTTCAATGACATCTACGAATGTTATGATGACCTCTCATAATTGTACACTACAAGAAGTGATGTTTTGAAAGAAAATATGCTTCAAACTTAACTTGTCTGTGGTGAGACCAATAAAATGGATAACAGTGTGTGTCTTTTTGCGTGTGTTTTGGTGCGTGTGTGTATGTCTGCACACTTGGAGACATCACACTACATCAATGCGTTGCTGGTAACATACGGTGAAAAGAGTGTGGATGAAGGATGTGGTGTTGACGTCCGAGAGGAGCATGGCGAGTGTTGCGTTGATTTGCACACGTTTTTTCTGGGATGTGTGTGTGTGTGTGCACTTCCTTTGTAATGATAGCTCTCAGTCTCTTGCCAGGCGGCCAGGCTACTCCTCTAAACCTCATGATGTTTGCCAACCCCCGGAGCCCAGAGAATATGGCCTGCAAATGGGCCACAGAGAGAGCCTGAGACCCTGTTAGCTACTGAGGCAACCAACATTCATAATTAATGCAAGACAACAAACACAAACAGTCCGTGTTAGAATAAGCTTCTGAATGTGCAGCAGTGGAAACATGCAGGTAGTGCAGACTTTTCACTTAGCTGGCAAAACTGGATAACTTACACTTCTGTAGAGGAGTGACTGTGACGAAAGGTGATGTAGCAGGATGAGAACTCCATCTAGAGGTCAATGTAGGTAACATCCGTTCCTCTGCTGAAGACTGCCTCACAAATCAACAATGGTGGAAGAAATATTCAGATCTCTTAATTATGTCAAAGTAGCAATATGGCACATACTACTCTATTATACAGTAAGTAAATAAAGCATTTTAAATGTAACTTTTTACATTAAGTATGTAAGCATTACTAGAAAAATGCACTAGAAAATGTTTTTTTATGCTTAACTATCCATTTATTTCCCTCTAAATTGTTGTTGAGTAAAAGTATAATTAAAGGTCCAGTGTGCAGGATTTAGAGGCATCTAGAAGTGAAGTTGCAGACCAACTGAATACTGCTCGCCTTCCAAAGAATTGTAAGTGTACAGGAAAAACTACATTGGCTGTGAAACTCATCTAGAAACATGGTGGTTCAACATGGGGGACCACCCTCTGTAGATAAAAATAACTTCTAAGGTAACAAAAACAGAACAATTCTTATTTATAGGGGATTATTCACTAAAGGCAAAATACCTATTAATATTATATTCCATTTCTGACAATAGATCCTCTTAAATGTTACACACTAGACCTTTAAGTAGGAGTTCTTGAGTAAATGTACTTACATTCCACCATAAATGAACACAGACAAAACAAGAATCTATCAAACTATAATTTATTTGTGCTATTTGTTTGTTCATTCATGTGAATACACCGACAATTGAGGATAAATCAAAACCTTCCTTTTTTCCAAAGAAAATAAAATGCAAATGCACAAAACTTCTCTCTCATTTTTGCACAGGAACAATTAATCTGTTAACCAGCTTACAGTACATGACAAATAAGAACAGAACTGTAGCTGACTCATACAGTTAACAAGTTTCTCTGTTATTGCATAATTGTGAAATAAACATAAAAAAGTGCAGACTGACTGCACACTGAAATGTGGACTTCTTCAGTGCATATATCATATGGTTACATTAAATAAATGGGAGGAAATAATATTGCAAAATTAAAGTGATAGAGAAAAAGATCAAAATAACTGGCGAGTTCCTGTTAAATTACCTGTTATATGCTAAAATCACATGCATCTACTGATACATTTAATTAAGAGTGACATTATAATAATGAATATGAGTGAATACTGAAATTTAAATAGGAGGTATTCAAGGAATGTAACTTTTTTTTGTAAAAAGTCCTGTCACTGTGTCACAGGCAGGTCAAAGATTCTTCAGTGGACAGGATGTCCCTCTCGGGCCTTTTCCCCGTCCACATCACCCACTGACCCGACCTGGTCACTGGTCCAGGACTGAGCAGCAGATACAGCAGCTGGAGTGAAAACTCATACCTCGCTCTTTACTGCTTGTCCTTTCCTGGGACAGAGACAAAGTAGGAACACACTCACTGCCACTCTGCAAGCACACAAAGTCAGGAAATGTTGCTGACAGTCAAATCATAAAAAACGAATTATTATAAGTGGTACAACTGCAGAACTTGCATTAACATTTAGTGTAGAAATACACGATAGACACAGATTTGTTAGTTCCCCACAGATTTCACACATATAGATTAAAATGCAGTGGTGGAAAGTAACTAAATACATTAACTCACATTTTCTTCAACTTACTATAGATGACATATGATCAGCTTCTCAAATAGGTAGTCTGGAATTGAGTTTGTTAAATTTTATGTTTTCAATGCAAATCAAGTTATTTAAAGAACTGAAAAACTATCCACCTTGTTCTTTCTTCCACCACCATACATACACTGTGCGAGTTCAGCAGCCCAACATATTATAAAGTAGTGAATCAGAGATAATAATCCTATAATATACAATAGTTCATACCACTTAGAGCTGTTGGGCATGAGTATGTTTACTTTTGTTACTTTCATTTTGCTGTTAATACTTCTGTAGTTTTACCTTAGTAAGAATACAAGATGGACTATTTTTACATTGTTGTATTAATACCTTTACTAGAGGATCTGAATACTTCTTCCACCCCCACTAAAATGCCGGTCCAAATCACACAAAAACACTTCACTTACTCCAAATTTAGCCATGTAGATGTTGTTTTTTTGGATCTCTGCAGCTGCAACCCCCAGAGCAATGGAGGTGAGTGGAATTTAATTTGTGCCTGGCACACAAAGGATTGTAAAGGAAACGCACCCACAAAACCAACATCTCTCTACAGACCTCGCTGTTAAAAGTTCTCATTATTTTCTACTTCTGGAAGAAAATACATCCCAATTAAAACTGTGCTCAGTAACCCAGGGCACTGTTTTAGGTTTAGGCAGACTGAGATATTTGTAATGATTCCGACCTGCCTTTGCCTCACTCATGACTGCGATCCTCTTACCTTTACTGGGGACAAACTTGAGCGAGTGGCTGAATATTCAAAAACGTGAGACTCCTTCTTCTGGACCGTCATTTACAAACTCATGGCCCAGCCCGTTGCCACACTTGCCACATAGAACCTGCATGCATGAAACACATCAACCTCACTTATTATCCTGTTTGATCTGTGTGAATGATGCAGCAGCAGTAAAACAGAGGGGCTTCAGACCCTCTGACAGTAAATATATTTGAACTTTAGCTGTACCTTGTAGGCAGTAAGAGTCTCCATCATCTTTGTGACACTGTCCTCTCTGATGGTGTCGGTGAAAGCCGGCCAAGGAGACGAGTGGGCGAACTTGGACCGGCTGGAGAACAGCGGATGGTTACACTGGGAGCACACATACATACCTGCAGGGGACGGTTATGTTTAAAAGTCATTGCACTGTATTATTTTTTACCTAAAGAAATAATGCAATAGGGCAGTGGCTCCCAGTGTGGGTGCTGGGACCCTTGCAATGGTTCCAGAAGTCAATATGAGGGGTCTCAAGATGATTAAAGGCAGGGGCATTTCCAGAGAGGGGGCACTGGCCACCCCTGAAATCTGATTGACAAACCCAAGAGCCACTCATTATCCTTGCCTCTTTCACTCCACACTGTGTTTCAAAGGCTTGTTAAAGCTAGTGAATATTCTGGTATTCATATGAAACTAGATGACCTAACGCATCTCTTGGTACCAACCATGTCATGAAAATGAAAAACTGGCATAACCTTCTTCAAAGGGATCCATTAACATCTGACCTCAAGATATCTGAATAAAAATGGGTTATATGGGTACCCACAAGTCTTTGGGGAAATACGTTTATGCTAATCACATGCAGTTTGGGGGGAAAACCATGCAGTTTTTTGCATGTGGTATAAATGTGTGTATATAGTGTATTTGAATATTTCTGCATTCTGGGGTCCACAAACAGTGGAATTGTATAAATTGGGAATGACTGGAAAGCTGAGGCACATACTTAACGCCATCTTTGCATAA